ACACACACACACACACACACACACACACACACACACACACACACACACACACACACACACTAAAATATAGTGTCTCATGTTGTCCTTACGTTTATAAACGGGTTGTCCCGCACAAGTTGCAGGGCGATGTCGCTGCACCCGAGGGCTTGAGCGTCGGTAGGGAGCTTACCGGAATGTTCCCACGCCCTGCAAAATTAATGAAAGGATGAAAACAAAACTCCACGAAAATCCTTCCTTGGTAGTCCTTCGCATTTAATCTTCCAAAATGTAGGAATCCCTTTATCTGTGTCATCACGAAATACCGAACTCTGGTGTGATTTGAGAACAGTTTTTGACGTGTATGTACTCCTACCATGAGAGTTTACGCTATCACACATTAAGCACCAGACGACCAAAGTCGAGCAGTGTGACCAAATTCAGGCCGCGTTCACCTTTCTATACGAATCGAATTTGAGTTAAATTTGAGTCTCGAGCTCCAGTCAAGTTCGGGGTAAGATTCTGAATGTGACATGTATGTGTGACAGGGGCTTTACCTGTTAGCTGAAGCGGCGTAGGATGCGGAGGGCGAAGCGTGAGTGATCCGTGCCGTCACGACAATACCCGTGGACTTCCCTGGAAATTATCAACACAGAATTTATATGTATACATAGGGCGCTTTTTACATGTTGCCTAAGTCAACGATTTAAATTTCTCACTTTTATATTGAAACTGCATGTAACTTGGGAGATTCTGAGAGAAGGAATGGCGCTTTTTATAGCTAGCTGGGCAAATGTGATCACTAAGGTTCGCAATTAAAGCAACGCACAACAACGCATTTCTCTGCTCAACATGTTCTCTTTTTCGTGCAGCGGTTTGACGCCTGAAGCTTCCTTATACATGTTTCCATACATGCCCATCCGAAGGGACTACTAGTATGGTAATCAGTAACACTATGCCCAAGATAAAGAGCGTGTACACATGAATACATATACCTGCTTCGTGTGCGTGTTTGAGGACAGACTTGACTTTCCCCGTGAAACTAGCGGCACAGTCGTTTCTCTTCACCGTCGCGTCCACACCCACCGTACCGTAGTTCGCCTTCACGCCGGTCAGGTACGCCGTGGCCGTGCCGGCAGAGTCCCCCGTCTGACGGTCAACGTTATACGTCTGGAAGTACACAAAAAAAATAGAACACGATGAATTTGAAACATTGGCATATTTAACAGTCAAAACTGTGCATTTTTACATACACCTTACACCTGTTCAAGTATTCATTAGGGTTGACGTCACCAATGCGTTGCGCAGTTAAGGACTCACGATGGGAAAGATTATTTTAATATCTTTGAAAATCCTTTTTTCACTTGAAAATATTGGTCTAGTTAGGAGACATTTTAGTTAGAACAAGTAGGGCCTAAACGTTTCTAATTTGGCCAAGTTTTGTTTCTCCGAACACCAACCGATCAAGTTTGGTTGAAGTTAGGGAGAGGTCTGGCCAGATTTAGGCCACACCTATTTTTTCTTTACATATCGAAATTGAGTCATATATGAGTCAAATCTGACTGTCAACCACGCCCCAAACTACTCCCAAACACCAACCAACCATGCTACCGACTTATACTCCTAACCATTGTCGGGAGGTCACATTCGGCTATGTGTAACAGGGTTCGGCGCTTAAACCTATGCTAGGACTCGTCTTTTCAGAGAAGCACACCAGGTAACAAATTCTCTTCTTGACACGTGTGGTGGTTTCTTTTACATGTTTTGTTACTTGTTTTGACTAACCACGCACTACCTACATGCAATTAAACAACAGACACCATCAAACTAACCCACCTTGACGAGAGCCGAGTAGGGCAGTTTGTCCATCTCCAGTAGTTCCTCCTCCCCCGTCCTCCCCGCCAACTGACCCTTCAGGATCCTCCCCGCCGTCACAGTGGACACGCCCATCCCGTCGCCTAAACGTTCAAGTTTTTATTTGGATGCCCTTTAGCCCAGAAGGCTAATCTTCCATCGCTCATACAAAATGTAGTAACTGTTCTTGGCTGTAAATTAGCATCAGATTAACTCTTAACTATAGTTGACAGACCAAATCAGTGTATATTTCTGTACAGTTCAATCCATCGTCGTTTGTCTCTTGCTATATGTCTCTAATAATATTTTAGTACGTGACACTCGAGTCTAATTTCGTGACGTAGAAACTCAGATAAAGTTAAATCTTAAAAGTTAGATCTACTACATGTTTTGGGCTGATTTCCTTGACAGTAAAAATTATACGTACAGATATGTTATACTTGCTTTGTCATAATTGATTGGAATGATTGTAGGGAAGTGCACTTACCTACAAACAGTATCACATTCTTGGCCACGCCCGTTTTCGGCTGGACTTTGAGGGTTTCTTGGATGTCCTTCCAGGCCAGGTCGTTCCAGTATTTCGGCTGCTTTTCCTCCTCTAGATTAGAGATATACATATTTTGTCAACAAATTAGGATCTTACATGTAGGTCCAACGCAGCAGGATGAAAGGCAAGTTATGCATATTTTGTAAACAAATTACAATGTAACTTTTCGGGTCTTAGCGAAACTAAGTTTCGAGTATATCTCTAGCCGTTTGTTCAGCGATCATAGGTCCAACGCAGCAGAGAGTAATGCAAGTTATGCATATTTTGCCCACAAATTGCGATCATAGGTCCAACGTAAGACAAGGTGTGCATATTTTACCCACAAATTGCGATCATAGGTCCAGCGTAAGACAAGTTATGCATATTTTGTGAACAAATTATGATCATAGGTCCAACGCAGTAGGGTGAAAGACAGGCCGTATGTACGGCGACATGGGATGGCAGATATGAGATGATCGTTAGTGTATATAAAACGGCCAGGCAAGGGGTATAGCCTCGTGAGAAACCTATGTGCATAAATTTGTTGTGTCAAACTCTTTGTCTTCTGTAAAGACTTAACCTCTTCTTAGCGCTCATATAAACCCCCAATTGTTACAAGTGTTTCCAGGGACAGTGCCTCGGCTTAGGGCCCACATTCCACTGGAAAATCGTCTAACGTTTCTGTCTGAGTGTCTCTGTATTTCTCTTGTGTTAACTTTAGTATCACAAATTATGTCCATGTCCGTGTTCCTATCTGTTGTAAATCGGGCATCACATAGACACAGCGTGATCCATGACCATGTCCTGCTGTGGAATGCCAACCTTAACGTAACACAGCTGTTTCGAGACCGACTCGGCAAAAATAGGTCACTAATCTCAATATCAGTGGTTTTGGGGGGCATATCGCTTACCGCACTACTACGCCCGTTAAATTAAGTACTAAAAGTTACGAGTCCAAGAGATAAAGTCTGTGATACAACTAGTGTGAACCTGAACCAAGTCAAAAATATGGTCATGCCCAGCACCTAGACTACAGGCCACAAACAAGGACAACAACAGCAACAGCAATACAAATTTGTCGATCGTCAAAGTCTTGCTACCGAAGTCAGTATCCTGCAGTGCACAGTACGAGTCCACTCGATCGTCATGGCTAACCCATCTCTTTATGATACGCTGAGGAAAGGGGAGCCTACATATTGGCCGCCTGTTACTGCTTGGCCAATTTGACACTGCCTTGCCAATTTGAAACAGCCAACAAAAGATTTGCTTTACCCCGCTCAGTGCACGCTAGGTATTAGGGATTTCAAGGTCGCCAGTGATCAGAAAGGCCGGCTGAAAGCTGATCGAGCGCCAAAAACTGGGGCCCAAACACAACAAAGCCGGCCCGTAGAGAATAGTGAGTGAGAGAAAGGTGCCTACACGATATATGTCCTAAGTGGTGATAGTTTTGAGTCCAGTAAACATACCTGTTTGGCAGGAGCAGGTCAGAGCCCATGCAGACCACCACGCCGCTAAAACAGCGAACTTCACCGGAGCTCCAAACATGGTTCCTCTGGGCGTCCGTCCGTACTGCACGCTTTTACTACTTCACAACAAAGTTAGTTCTCAAATACTATATAGCGTGTGAACACGTAGACACGCCCTACGTCTTGATACCTTTATGGGGGTTTGGTTTGCTTCGCTACGTTGCGTTGCGTGAGCAGCGTGACCCAAGGTTGACCAACGCTCAGTCTAGCTGCTGGGATGAATGTGTTATCTAGGTCGTGTCACAAGGAGCAACACTACCCAGTAAGATCAGGGAAACTTCAGACGACCCGGAAATGACGAAAGACCTCGTAAAACGGCCGTTGGCACTCGGGCTGGTCTCCAAGCAGATGTTACGTTGGAAGATACCTTGAATGGGACATCTAGGTTGAAAGATACAGTAGTTAAAAACGTTTCGACTACCTATCTTCGTCATGCATGCAAGTAGGGCGAGAACTACATAGAATTATCGACACATAGAGCTATAGGATCCCAGGAATTATACAAATCCATATATAGTTTCGTGACTATTTCACGTTTGCAAAAACGATTGCATCCTGTAGTTTGTTCCAACCTCGCTAGGTGAAGATGCTCCATATGGCCGAGATTCCATCCAAAACGTTCCATCATCAAATCAGATCGATTGCAAAAATGATAACAATCGTAAACAAACTGATTTTCAAAATTACAAAATTTCTAATTGTAATTACAATTGTAAAATTACAAAATTACGGTCTTTTGTAGGGATTTGCAGGATCGGAAGGGATTATTTTGAGGACTAGCACCAGCAATCTGACCGCGAGACGCAAGAAAGGAAGTATTGAAGGCATTGACCAGTAGACGTTTGATCAAACATCAACTTTTTGTTGCGTTTAATACATCCCTCGTTTAATACATCCCTCGTACATAGCTGGACACATGTACATATCCAAAGAAAGCAGACAGCAGCATTGGATATTTATTTTCTCTTAATTTCAATATACACTATACACATCGGTTTAACTACTAGTACCACATGTTTTTCTGAATCTGTATACACATATATATTGTCAACCTATAGTGTTGTATTCACATTTAAACCATTCAGGAAATGGTTCTTCATAACACAGCAGCAAATACAGCAAATTACGCTTTAAAATGTTTCCAGATGAAGCCTGAAAATCAACATGTCTTTATGCCCATTTTGTAAAAAAAAATTATGGCTTGTTTCTGTCCACTGGGTCGAACCCTATTTCTTCATAGCGGCAACCCTCTTCATTCTTTGCTTTTCGTATTCCTGGAGCTCCTCCTGCAGCGCCACTATCTCTTTCCGCAGGAACTGCAGCGGGTTGGGTGGTTTCTGGAAGACGAGCCGCTCCAGCAGTGTCTGTGTGAAGAAACAAACGGTAGAACACAAGGTTAAAGAAATCCCTCGTACTTTAACGATTCACTCTTTAAAAAAAATCTTGAAGTATTTCTATAGCCTTTCATCATACCCTCAGGAATTTCTTTCACGGACGTTATATAGGCAAAATATAATGAACCCTGGCTATGTCCTGAGAGCGCTGCCTATACGCACACCGTATATATGTGATATAGGTCATTCAAGCCACTTTGTCTTAGTTTAACAAAGACCAAGTGAGTCCGCTTAAATCAATCAAATGCTTTATTTTCTTCCCATTGATACCGGCCCGACAGATGTCACGTTTTGATGCATATCAACCATGTGAATAATTAATATCTATTACGCAGGTTTCAATAACGGATTTGTCTTGATCCCCTTGCTGAAATCCCGTTAGGGGCACGTCACGCCAAACAAAGCCGCGCAGCTTAGTAACCCAACTACCGGGGTACTGAACCGTACCGGGTATTGTTGGTAGCCGGGGCCTGAGCGCTACTCTACACCACTCCACTATAAACATGCCTTTGTACTCTGTACGTCTGGACAAACAAACTCACGGCGCTACACTCTGTACACGGTACCGACTACGTGCCAATCAGAATACCTGTACATGTCCAAATTATGTTCAGTACAAGACATTTTTAGTGTGAAACGGGAGAAAGGACTAGTAGATGTTCTTTCTTTTCAACGACAAAGTAAATAGACACAGGTTTATGTGCAGTCCATTTTACAATTCGTATAGGGCTATTAGAACAGTACCGGTTAATATTTACACAACATTCTGATTGACCTGGGTTCTGATTCGCTGTTTGCCCTGGAGACAATTTTTCAATATTAGCTCAGCCCCCGACCAACAATTACATACTGCGTGCCACTGCTGGCTCTAAGCTATAGGGGTATAATATTCTCACGGTTTAAGGAACGAAGAATTTGAGGTAGTTTGGAAAACTACATGTATCATTATAACTACTCTCTGTAGTAATGTTCAAGTCTTGTACCTATGAGTACTGACTAAAGCACTTCCTCTTGGTAAAGTGCCGTCAATTCATTATTTGTCCTTTTCATATAATATACATCAAGGTAGGCAAAATTTGTTTGCTTCTGACTGGTGGTCGGTAAATTGACTTCCTAATTTGACCTAATTCCGAAAGATTTTATATCAGATTATGTACCTGGAATATGTACAGGATTCCCTTCTCTTGAACGTACAGAATGGCTGTCTCTAGCGGGTCCTCCACTGGTGGTTTATACCCGACAACTTCCTCTACTTTCTTCGCTCTCCTGGACAGAATCGGTCTGGGAATCACGGCTTGCGAACCCACGGAACGCTGGCTCAGAAAGTCCAGCGACTTCGTTACTTCTTGACTGACCACCTCGGCAGCTCGGGCCTCCTCGGTTGTTTTCGGCGGCTCCGGGGCGGGTGCCTCCTCGGTAGTTTTCGGCTCCGGGGCGGGTGCCTCTGACGGTGCCGATTCCGGGACTTGTTCTGGAGGCTCTACACGTTCTTCTGCGGTCGTAGCGGTGTTAGGTTCTTCCTCTACTTCGATCTGTGTGAGGAGAACGGGCTCGGGGAGCGAGGGGGCCTGCTCCGCGATCAGTACCCCTCCAGCCGCCGCCATGTTGGTGGGCCGTTGCTAGGTGTACACTGTGCCCCCGGGTGTAGGTTACTCAAAGGTGATTCGTCTTACCTGTCGAGTGGCTAGAACAAAGGAAAATCTCCCAGGGGAAAGAAATTTGAGAGAATGTCTGATTTACATACAAAGAGGCAGTCTGTCAACGCTTTGAAGGCATATGACTGAAACAAGGAGTATGTCTCGTTTGACATCCAAAGTAATTAGCTTAAGAGGGAGAAAATCACGTTAAGAACTTTTCTGTATTGACCGGTTAATGAGCTTTGCCATACGATAGCATGTGTGTTAAACATACAAAAACAGAAAGAAAGGGGGGAAACTGCCAAAAATATGATGGATTCATAGTTTTCATATGAATAAACTTTCATATAAATTTAGTAGCACCTTTGGAAAGATTTGTAAGTCACCTAGAAAATTAAAGGTCATAGGTCAATGGCGACCAATAGCAAAATTCCCCGCGTTGTTTTCTATCAATTGCAGGCTAATACCACGAAAAATAAGAAAAACTATCGGAACTATGATTCTACTCTCTAGAATTAAAACTTATTCTATCAATATTTATAAGACTAATGGATTGCATATATATTCCAATAGTCATTGAAATAAAACACTTAATCTTTTAACGCTAAAATATTACAATTGTTACTGTTAATATGAATGTACATGTAATTTACAACACAATTCAGGCTGTTTCAGCCTGCAATGTTGTTTTGATGAATAAAGTTCATCGTTCATAGAATAGTTTATAAAAAGCGCATGCATGTGTATCCAAACACTCTCCAGCTTTTAGTGTGATACCGAACTCTTATTGTGGACAAACAAGGAAACAAAAAACAGTAACACCACCTCAAATATTTTGCTGATGTTTCTTTGGTCGCAAATGACACACAATGTAAAACTTATTGCATGTCATGAAAGACGTTAGTGCCACCATACGTCATTTCCTTCGTGCGTTCTTGTGCCTTCATGACGGCGTCTTGAAAAGCGTTTTTGTTCCGACAGTAACGCGGTGAATGGACAGCCGTCCTGAGAACTCATCTGATGGATGGTTTCATCAAAAACGATTGCAGAGCTGTTCATGCATAGGATAACTTCATCAGGCGTTCACGGCCCGCTAAGGTTATGGTATGTACTTGGGCGGGTTCTAAGAAAAAGGCGGGGGTGTGCTTCAGGAGGTCTTGGATGAGTTGCCATGCCACCGGTTATAATGATGTGAACTCTAGCGCGGAGGTGGTGGGGGCGGCTTGCGCTTAAACAGAAACAACTTGGGGAGTCTCCTAGGAAATAAACATGGTTCTACACGCATATTCTGCTGGGATGTGTGTGTATAATGTCAAGCACGGATTATGGCAAAATCATGGCCCCCAAATCTTCCGACAAATACCATAATATAAAAGCACTTAGTCTACTTCTCCTATAAGACGAGGGACAGTAATAACACAGGGATGTAATGACATCTAGTTCGTTAATCTACTTGGTGAAATTGCCCGATGAAGCCTCACATTTAAAGATTCTTTTTGACTCAACCAAAAATACAGGGACTTTTGTATGGTGTTCTACAACTAAAGATCTAACAAAGTGAAATACATGTATGAATAACGTCTTCCTACGTAAAGAGTATATGTATACGAGTGGAACTCGCTGTCACCAGGTACAGTAGGGGCATTACCACTCATCACTAGATAGCTTTATAAACAATGTTTATTGTTAGATGTTTAAGGGTTAGGTATAACACGTCGCTCGGTGTAATAGCCAGCTGCCGCGTGCCTGTGAAGCTGGTGTGTTACGCCGAAGGGCGGTTATACCGGCTATACCGATACAGAAGCTGGTGTGTTACGCCGAAGGGCGGTTATACCGGCTATACCGATACAGAAGCTGGTGTGTTACGCCGAAGGGCGGTTATACCGGCTATACAGATACAGAAGCTGGTGTGTTACGCCGAAGGGCGGTTATACCGGCTATACCGATACAGAAGCTGGTGTGTTACGCCGAAGGGCGGTTATACCGGCTATACAGATACAGAAGCTGGTGTGTTACGCCGAAGGGCGGTTATACCGGCTATACAGATACAGAAGCTGGTGTGTTACGCCGAAGGGCGGTTATACCGGCTATGCAGATACAGATACAGAAGGACATGACAAAGTAGCGGAGATTAGAAGATCGCAGCCTTGACCCTGTGTAGAGTGAAGTGTCAGGTCCAATCAAACCGGCCCGGAGACGGATGTGAGTACCGGCGTCAGCGGCACGCTGCCAGCGGGATTGAACCCGGGCAGGTATCGATTGTGTTTCCTGGGGCTTAAAATGAAGCAAATATGAACTTATTGAGGGTCATTCCATTTTGAGGATTAAGTAGGGGTGGCGTATTCAGTTCAGTTCATTTTTTACATATCAATGCATGAGTTGACAAAGCGCTAAGCTGCATCCCCTGCTGCTTCCGTGTTGGTAATAATCTGATCTTCTAAAATATCACTCTACATTCAGTCTTGACTATGTACGCTCAGCAGAGCCTTAAAACGTTTCTCTCTCATATATGCCTTATGAATGGAGGTGACATGTCAAGGCTACACACTCCCACTTTTGAATAATTCCCGCGTCCGTAAATGAACTTTGTAATGGCCCATTGGATTCAGAGTGTCGAATATAAAGTTCATCAACTAACTGTAACATGTGCATATATTACATTAGCATTCGTGGTACATCTAACCTACACAATGTTAGTATAAGGCCTATTCTATGCAAGAACTCCGGTTTTGTGCATATTATTTTGTTTTCAGTTTATGGCAAATGCCTTATGAACGTCGCTTGGTGGCGCACCTCTAACAAGACATTTTTTTCAGTTTCGGACGATTTTTATCGGTATAGGTAGACTTTCAACAAAAAGAGCAGTTGAAATGCAGATCAGTCATCTCAAATATTGGGCCTTCTGCCTCGCAGCGGTAGACTGCAAACTTTCAGAGTAATCATCTCAACTGTCTAACAATGTTTTGATCTAATACTTCATTAGTATGTTCTGCAGGATTCGGATTTCTTTTCCATTGACATGCCAGGTACGGTTAAAATCGATCTTGACACAGCCCAATCCGCCGGTAAATTGCATCAAAATGATTTAACATCAAGGAGAGATATTCCTTTTCTGCCAGTGTCGTTGCGACTTCTGCGTCTGAGCCGAAAAGCCGCTGTGTCGTTCTGATAGATGATTGCGTGTGGGCTGCATCTGAGGGAAGACGTGACGAGGGAACCGGCAAGAAACGAGTCTGTACGGTACGGCAGCCTCGACCTTTTAAACTTTTTTTGTTTATTATTGGTTTATTGTTTGTTTTGCACTCACAAGATAAAATGATTTATAACAATTGAAGTTGAGTAGGCATGCATGGGAGGGCCGGAAACCTGGAGGTTTATCTTTGGCCCTTCCCAATACTATGAGATTAAAAGTTACCATTGATACTGAATGAAACAATACAAATCATCTAACAACTGGTGGATCCAACTTCTTGATACATCAGCCAAATACAAGAAAACGACTTGACTCAAATTTAACTCAAATTCGGTTCGATTCGTATAAAATGGTAGGCATGGCCTAAATCTGGTCAGCCAGCCTTGGTCGGCTGGTGTTCGGGGGAAGTTTCTGAATGTGTGACATGGACTTTGTAGAGGCAAATTCTGTATACAAGTTTTCTGGCACCTTTTAGGAAATACTTCACGAATATGTTGATTTCTTTTAATTATAGTAGCTTGGCTGTGCGTAACGATCTTCTAAATGTCACATCGTCCTGAGGTAGAAAAGCGCCTTTGGGGTTACCTGAGGACCCCATATCCAACCTAAATCCTGAAGACTAGCGACGGTGTGTAGGCCATGGCAGCAAGTCGAGTCCTGGAACCGGCAGACGAAAGTGTAAAATGGACAAGAAATTAATCATTTTCGTCGGAGAACTATGTCTTATACAATTGTGTCTTTTGGAGGGAATATGTTTTCCGTAAGTGCGCAGATGTCAATATTTATTGTATCATATTTATTGTCAAAGATCAAACAAATTGTTTTTGTGATAAAAAACGATCACAATTATATGCATAAAATGATGATATGTATGCGTGTATTTTCTATACTCTCAAATTAGTAAGATGTCCTTTATATACTATACGACGGACAGACTGTTTCTAATGGAACTCTTCATAAACTATTTTGTTTTGCAATATTGGTTATATGGGTGAACTATTTTTTCTATACAAAACATGAATATGTATACGAACGTTGGAAATTACACGCCATACGATGTCATTGCATATCGTACCAAATGTCATCACTCACCGAATGACAGGGCTCGTTTAAATCTTCATTACACTCATTTTTACATCGTGGTGCCAATTATCTGCTCTGTGAGTCCGTCCGCGCATTTCGCGTTGTTCGGGATAGTTTCAAAAATTGGATGTCCAACTCATACGAAATAACGGAGGGGAACTGGCGTATTCCGTTGATTTTTGTACATGAAGTTTTTGTGCATGTAGTTTTTGTGCATGAAGTTTTTTTGCATGTAGTTTTTGTGCAATGTAGTTTTTGTGCAATTTGCCGCATGAAGTTTTTGTGCATGTAGTTTTTGTGCAATTTGCCGCATGAAGTCTTTGTGCATGTAGTTTTTGTGCAATTTGCCGCATGAAGTCTTTGTGCATGTAGTTTTTGTGCATGTAGTTTTTGTGCACGAAGTTTTTGTGCATGTAGTTTTTGTGTAATTTGCCGCATGAAGTTTTTGTGCATGTTGTTTTTGTGCATGTAGTTTTTGTTTATGGCCTCTATAAGTAACTGTTATTAAATGAAGGCATTCAGCACCAAGGACAGAAACCCCCTCTGTCAGACCAATTCCAGGTTTAAGCGTTATTTTGGTATACAGTCAGCCCGAATAGCGCGTTTGAGGGCTTAAAACATGCTTTTGGGCGTAATTTACCATCTCACTTCTCTTTCCTTAAGTCTATGTCTACCAGTCTTCATGTCGCTTTGACAAAGTAGTGCACAATAGATCACAGGC